TCACCTCCGGCTTTTAGTTCTTCTGTACGGATTTGATCCAGACCTGCTGCTTTATTCCGCTTCATTGAGCGAATCGCGGCAACGACCTCGTTGGGAGTGATAGCAGGTACAGCGAGAAAAAGGTCATAATCTGTATGAATGTTGTTATCTGTAATTTCCCAGTTTTTACATTCAACAGCTTGTAGGAAGAGGTCCTCTGAGAACTGCTTCAGCCTTCTACTGTAGATGTTTCTCTTCTGAATCCTTCGTTCCCTGTTGAAATCGATTCGAATGTCCGCTCTCACAAGACGGTGGTCAGAGTGGACCGAAACTGCTGATTCCGATATGATGGACACATCTGTAATCACTCGCCTTTTATCAGTGAGGATGTAGTCGATTTCATTTCGGTACGCGTCGTTTGGTGCATGCCAAGTCCAGCGTCTATCCGAACATTTCGGGAAGAAGAAATTCATTACGTAGAGCTTGGAACTTTCGACAAAGTCAGCAAGTCTCTGGCCTCTGTCGTTTCTTGCTCCCACACCAAAGCTTCCGATAAATTCTTCTGAACCATCTCCTTTTCCGAGTCTGGCATTGAAGTCTCCGAGGACAGTTGTATATGTTGTCTTCTGTCGCAGTGCGACCTCGAGTCCTTTATTGAAACACTCAATGTCTTCCTCATCTGCTGCTGAAGTGGGCGTATAGACAGCGATGAGCTTCATCGTAGTTTTTTCATCAATACGGACAACAAGCACTCCGATGCGCGAAGACTTGATTTCGCATGAAATAATTCTATTTGTTGCCGTTGGTCGTTTTTACAATGAATCCAACACCGCCCACTCCTCTGTCTACTGCTCCCAAGAAGACCTGTGAACCGTCGTTGTACTTCCCGGCTGATGCAATTTTCCGTCTAGTCTCATCAAAATATAAAACTAAAAATGGGGTTGGGGGTGCGCATTGATTGTTTTCGACGTCCTGTATCGTTACCGGCTGTTGTTGATGGTCGTTGATGCTCCTCGCCGTCACCTGTCGTCGTTGTTTCCTTGCCGCCACCCGTCGTCGTTGCTTCCCTGCAGTATAAGAAGACTGACCGAAGGGCTTCAGACGATCGTCAGCCCATCCGCGCCACCCGGAATTCCTATCCCCACCGGGAATGGACATCATGGCAGAAGTCCTAGGCCTCCCGAGGAATGTGAGCAGCCACCCCCAGCTGACTCCTATTCCTGGCGCCATATGAATACAAAGATGAAAGTACACATACACTTGCACTATATGTTTTCGAATTTGAAATAAACTGCATACACATTTTTGAATTTGACTGAAGCTGCATGGGTCATGCTTCCCGAGAAGTTGCGTCTTCTCGACACTCCCGAGCGACGACTTGGTTGTTGAACTGCGATTGTTTCTTTGTTGCTAACCTTGATGCAAGGATTCTGGAAGTTGATTTGAATTGCTGAGTGCGCCGAGGCATTGATTCTGGCCGGTATATTACACGGCTGGGTTTGACTGCTACTATTGCTCGAACTTCTTCCGGTCTGACATCGAAACAGACTTGCTGTTGTTCACTAATTGATATACTTCTCCAGCTGCCTTATATCGTTGACACTTCCTCTTCGATTGATTTCGATGCGACATCCAACTGATGTCCTAATTCCGATAGCAGTCGCTCTCTTTCACTCCTTGTGTCTTCTAAGGAGTTTTCGTTTCTTGGCTTTGCTTCGAAGGCGACGTCTTCTTGTCGTTTGCTTAGACTTTTCCATGCCAGTCTAATTCTTTCTTCGTCTACTGGTGGTGGCGTTCTTGACTGAAAGACAATCTGATTTGATTCACCTTTGGGTTGCTTTGGAACGATTAGCTTCTGACCATCACAGAGACAGAGTCTGAGCTTACCTGTACTAAGTACTGCTGAGGCATCGTTGCAGCCTAGCAAAATACTTGCAGCTACCGTTGGATCTTTGTGACTTATCCATCTGATAAGCGTAATCAACGTGTTGTCTGCACCACATCTTTGAATCCAACTGTTGTGAAGCGTGCTACTTTCTATTTCTGCTTTCAGCATGTCGTACAGAAATGGAATTTCGAGTTTTCGTGGCCTCGACCGGCTGCCTCAAACTCTTGCCTCAGGGGAAATGCTTTCTTCGTGTTGTCGCATTTCTTATCCATCGTTGGATATGGTATATTCGTGTATCCTATCATTACGACCACATCGTCGTTCTCGGCCAGCCTAACACCTGGTAAATTGCATCTGATAGCTATGTCCTTTCTACTTGGAGATAGACGAAAACGTTGTATCTCGTCGATAATCACGTGATCTCCGTCCACTTCAGCTCAATATGTTCCCTGTTGTCGATACTGACACTGGCTTCTCGGTTTACTAGTATTCCTGATAACCGCTCCAATGCTGCTGATGCACAATCCTTTTTGGAATTTGCATTTTGTTTCTCCTGCTAGACCCGAAAGGAACTCTTCTCCATCGTATACTGCAATTTCACCTTTCTCTAGAATGTAGTTGGTGGTTGGCGAACATCGAGTGCCGATCCATCCGTATGAGTATTCGGTTGGCACTAAGCTCTTCCATCTTTGGAGGCTAACTTTCGTAAGAGACAATCCGTTGGTCGATTTCTTTTATTGCACTGCGTGACATGTCTCGTTGCTAACTGGCTTGGTCACCGTTTCGTCAGTGACTACATGGAGCGAGAATCGAAAGAATGCTCTTGTGCAAACTGTTTGCGCTACCACAGCACAAAAAGTTGTATTTAAGTGTTGATATTGCTTTGTATAAAAAGTGACTAACTTTTCATCCAAGTCACCAAGTTGTTTCGCATAATTCTTGAGCGATGGTATCTCCACTACGGCACCAAGTCTTGTCGAAGAACATATGGTAACTCCTGCTCCCACTGCTGTGAAACACAGCAGGGTTAGTATTGCATATGCCACTGTCGGATTTTTCTGGAACTTGTTCGCTGAGCTTGTTCGGCACGGCTTCGTACTTGTTGATACTGTTGATGCTGCAGCTCCTGGTAGATTTCCTTTCTGTTTCGAAAACTTCTTTCTTGTTCTATTTTCGAGCTGTTCTGCTTCTTCAGTTCCTCCTGGATACTGCTTGTTTTCTGATTCTTTCCACCTGGGTCATTCCTCCTTCGGAAGGCTAAGCCACGGTGGGCCTGTCCACCACAGCTGATGAGTTTGAAGTGTTCGTGGCACATTTCCTCGTGACGCTATATTCGCTGGATTTTCGTGTGTAGGAACGTAATTCCACGGTCCCTTCGTTTCTCTGATTTCTGCCAGGCGATTTGCGATGAATTTGGAGCTGATTTCTTTCTTCGAACTGATCCAGTGTAATACACACTTCCTATCACTTCACAGGTAGAACGGTACGTCGTTCAAATTGATCTGCTTGCGAACAAAGTTGAGTAGCCTGACTCCT